TTTGGAAACAGAGTTTTCTGAAATCTGTTCTCTACAGGCTTGGCTGTCTGGGTAGTGTTATGACATCTTCTGATAGTATACTATCTGAAATTGAAAATCCGATTCAACAAATGGAATTTACAAATAAAGAGGAAAAGGAACAGTATATTTTGGAAGTTTTTCGACAATGGGGAGCTTTTGGTGTGTCCAAAAGGAAAATTGATGAACTATTATCCAAGCTGTATCCAGTATTCCCTTTTCTAGGAAAAAGTTACAAGACTCTTCTAAAAACACCTCGTAGCATTAATATTAAAGAAATTGAAGATGGTCAACTATGGTATAAAGGAATAGAAACTAATTTAAAAGAGATTTTAATAAGGAGCTATGTAGAAAAATATGAACGCATTGTTGTAGACATTAACATAGATGGTTTACCATTGTTCAAGAGTTCTCGAATTAATTTTTGGATAATTCTTGGCTGCTTGCAAGGTGACCAGCAAGAGCCTTTCATTATCAGTGTCTACTGTGGAAAAAGCAAAGCTAAAGATTTGGATCTATTTTTAGCTGACTATGTTGAAGAGATTTCTCACTTGCAAGAAAATGATTTCAAGTTTGAAGATCTAAGTTTAAAGTTTTCTATACGTCATTATATTTTGGATGCTCCAGCAAGAGCATATGTGAAGTGCTGTGTTAGCCATTCAGGCTATTATGCTTGTGAAAAATGTACTGTACAGGGTGATTACTATAAAGACCGAATCACTTTTATCAATTTGGATTGTCCTTTAAGGACAGATGCATCCTTTGAATCTCATGACCAAAAAGAACACCATACTAATTCTATCGACGACGTTTCCCCTTTGCAGCTGATAGGCACAGGAATGGTTTCTCAGTTTAGATTGGATTACCAGCATTTGATATGTCATGGTGTTTTTAAACGACTTGTGAAAACATGGTTACAATGTTCCGGTCCTTGGAAACTCCACAGAAAAGTGTTAGAAAACATTTCTGAAGAACTTGTCTCTTTATTCAAGTTTTTTCCATGTGAATTTAATAGAAAACCAAGATCACTGAAGGAGTGGCCTATGTATAAAGCCACTGAATGGAGGAGATTACTTTTATATGATGGAATCAAAGTATTTAATAGGCCTGACTTTCATGTTAATGTTTATAAAAATTATCTCCTTCTTCATTGTGCTGTTACGATTTTGGTATCCAAGGATTTTGTTATGCAGTCAGACATGATAAATGTAGCAGAAGAGTATTTAAGGGCTTTTGTGAAACATGGTATTCAAATTTATGGGAAGGAGTTTGTATCTTACAATGTACATTCTTTAATTCATCTATCTCAAGAATGTAAAGACCATGGATCCTTGGATAACTTTTCAACTTTCAAGTTTGAAAACAGGCTAAAAATTGTTAAAGAGACATTGAAGTCTGGATATCGTCCTTTACAACAACTTGCTCGCAGAGATGCGGAGCAGAAGGAATGGAGGCGATGCAAAGAGCAATTTACAGAAGTGTCCATTTTGTCGGGAAAGCACAACTATTATGTTCCAGATGTAGATGGGAAATATTTCAAAAAGTTAATTCATCATAGGTT